TACAAGACACTTGTCCAAATGAGCATTCAGTCTTGTTGGGAAACTCACTATGTTTGTCAAACCCAGAACAGACAAGAATGATATATCAACACGATTGAAATCACCACAGACGATACATAACGAGAAATCTAGATAACTCATTAAAGCTATGGAGATAATATCTGAAAAATACAGAAGTTCCTCTGAGGGACAAGAAAGAGAAATATAAATGTTAGCTAAGACAATCGACCGATAGTTACTGAGGTACTTTAGCTTGCATTCATGTACGGAAGCACATATATGATCAGTGGAATGAGCAAATGTTTGCTTTACACTCTTGCACCAATTGTTGTTGATATAAGTCACCAGGCCTCCTCCACGTTTCAGATATGTTGTCGGACGATCGACTCGGTATCCGGTGAAGTCATCGATTTTAGTAATCTCTTCGTCAATTTCGCTATATAACCAGGTCTCTTGTAATAGAATTACGCCCAACTTGGCATATTCCATGCCGCGCACAAGATCAGATAGATTTGGTAATTTTCCAAGCAACGACCGTACGTGATGGCTGATAATAATGGGTATACAGAGTTGTGACAAAGTTCTTTGATGCAGTGCTATTCTCCAACCACCTAGATGCTTCCTCCAATGTCCGCGAGTTTTTCTGCGAATCCTTTTGTATTTATTTCTCACTGATTTTCTGAATTTAAGTACTTCAAGAGGTAAATAAGTGTTCTTGATGCTTATCATGATGGCGTTATGAAATATCGCGACCGGCGTCATCGTAATAGCACAATATGGCTATGGAAACGACCCACAAAGTTAATTGATGTATAGCAACAACGGGAATGTCATTGAAAAATGTGACAATGATCAAACGGAAGGCAACAACAAGGCCGAATTTGAAGGCCTCGCCAGAAATAGTAACATTTTACACCTATGTTAACTCCGAGACTAAGGCTGAGCCTCCATCTTTGAACGCCGATGGGGACAGACCATCTAGGTCGGGGGTCTTATGCCTTGTTAGATAACTTATTTCCCGGGAAACCTCCATTTCAGATAGAGGACTGGTATCAACTGGGAGTATCTGCCCAGCCGAGGTGGACAGTGATAGTTCAGATGTCGATGGGGGCCAGTTGAACTGAGCCTTGAAATATTCAGCTCAACGGCGTTGCTGATCGTGAATCAGTGTACCATCGGATTCCTTAATTACCTCACTTACGCCTATTTTCTTGGGCCCCTATTCCTAATTAGACAGAAGAGACTGCAACTATTAACAAAAGCCGCAGCCTTCTCCATCGCTCTACACTTTCCTACCCACCACTTCTCGCGGTCATTCCTCAGACTCTTGATGAGCTGGCTTTTGAGGGAGTTGCGCGCTGTCATATGTGGGAAGGAGGGTTTTGCGAGCTTCCAGCAGGGCAGCCGAGGTCGACGATATCCATCGTTTGTGTTTTGAGCCTGCTCCAGAGTCCGCCATTCTTTTTATCGATATTTGCATAGCTTCCTTGATTTGCCTTCAGTGTTCATTGAGTCCTTCGGCTGGTGGTTGAACTGATAGGCGATCGGAGAGTTCCGCTTCGAATGCCGATTGGCAACAATCGCTGACTTTGTATTTTGGGTATTCATGGTCGGCGGATTTATTGCGGTTGTCTGCCAGGTGTAGGGAGAACTTGGCTCGTAACAAAGCGTGAGCCGTATCCACAGGTGTGGACCAAAAAGAATGGTACTCTTGATTTGACCCTCTCCAATGGTACCATACATGTAGTGTTTCATAGGCTTTATGCATGGCGGTACATGTCTACAAAGCCAACGGACTTTCAAATGAATAAACATTAATCACCAAAGCGACCGAATACATTCGAGCGTGGCTCGTCACAAAGTGGACGAATAACCATGAGTAATTTCGCTGTTTTCAACCACGTTTCGCACGGCTGCGCAAGTACAGACACAAATAAATAAAGCTCTCTCGATGTCTGCGACTTGAGACTTTTTGGATTTGCGAGGCTTTTCAGTGAGTGCCACAATGACATTGCGCGACGAACCGCTCCATCGAATTCAACTGGGCAATATAATGTCAGTTAACGAATACTAGTCCTCATGCACATAAGACCAAATAAGCGACCAAGGTACTTACCGATTCCGTTTCTTGTTCCATCGGTTGCATACCGGCCTCATCCTCGGCGGCGAGCGCTTTCAGTGCTAACTGGTTCGCGGTTTCAGCACGGCTTTCCTGTTCCGCCTCATCAACAGACAAATCCTATAAGTAAAACGATTTATCATATTCAACGTTTCTGAGTTTACAATGTGCCAAACAAATCACAGTACAGCAATCAATATAACAAAGAAATAGGTCGATGATTTGCTCGTGGGCGAAACACTGGCAGGTTGCTCAGACCAAAGCAGATGAAGCCTCCGGCTAGCTAAAGGTTGACTAACAGGGCAGCAGGGTGGTGTATATAAAAACTGCAATAAATTGGAAGCCAGCTAATCGAACTATAAGCTCTGTGAACGGGGTCAAACATCAAATGTGCGTAATACAATGTCACAACTGCCACAATGAGAGTGTAGTTTGTACACTTCTTCCGGGTTGGCTTGGAATTAGGGTTTTTAGCCAACTCCCGTAGGTAAACTATTAGTGGTTCATCGACCCAGTTATAACCCTAAATGTTGGCTGACTTTCCTCTCAATTTGGTGGAAAACACCAGATGAAGTCAGAGAGTAAGGCTTCTTCAGTAGAGGTTATTTGAGACGTTTGTAATAGGGAAAAGACCATTTTTCCTATAAAAGTGATTGTTTTCCTTTATTTTGCCCTATTTTTCCATTTAATTTGAACTTCCGGATTTTCGCTCCAAAAAAGACTCATACCGCACAACCGGTCATACTTGATCCTCATTGGTCCATTTTTCCATGTCCCACTATTTTCGAGTTAATTTTCACGGTCATTGGTGGCCGGTCCGCAAACTGCATTTAAACAGACGAGTTGTCCGTTATTTTCGCCTTTACGATTGAGCGAAATGTACAACCTCGTCCGTCTTCTGTGTTGTTCCTGGTAGGATTTGGGGATCGTACTACTTTCGCATTGTAAAGCAATACCAGTGAAAATAAATCGTCCAACTTCAGAGGTAAATAGGTGGAATGATTAGTGAACTGCCCTGTGGTCCGCGGTGCGAATCCAAACAAACACAGTACACACAGCTGAGGAGTCTGGGCACCAGTGGAACCGCTGATTAGTGTATTCTATAGACCATCACACACACACACACATACACACACAAGCTCACTCATCATGCTTTAGGATGCATAAATATTGCTAAATTCAGGCTACCGCTAAAAGTGTGAAGAGAAATTAGCGTAAAACAGGTGGGATGGGGATAAACAGAGTCCGAATTGCTACCTTTACAAGTTCTTCTGCGAATTCCGCTTCTTCTCTTTCATTCACCTCGTCTGATGGAGCGGGTGGTTTCACGAAATAGGGCAACTTGCCCCGCTGAAAGTCATTCAGTACGCGTTTCGCGGTGGTCATCAGATCAGGCTCACCACCCTGAGGAAAAACGAAACAGAAATATCCATTTTCTTTAACCAGAGCATAAACGTTAATCGAAAGAAGGGTAGTCTGAAGCATAATTCTAATAGTGAATGAACTTTCTGCACTGGACGAATA